GTGCCCCCGAGTTCAATTCCCTATACTAGAAAAAAGGGTAGGGGCAGTGATCATTAGAGTGGTTCTTAAGCCAGTATGACTGGTTTCCTTATAGAAGAACAGATAAAAAGAAGGAAGATAACATGTGAAGAAGGAAGCAGGATTAGTAGGCCAAGGACTGTCTTCCATCACCAGGAGCTAGGAGAGAGGCATGGAAATAGGTACCATTATTCTTACCATTTTACAGATATAAAATTGAGTGGACCGAAGTTAAATGGCCTGCTTAAGTCTACAGGGCCAGGGGGTGGTAGAGCCAGGATTCCATCCCAGACATTTTAGCTGCAGAGCTTGTACTGTTAGCCACTGCTCAGAACCACATCCGTTTTTTATTTTTCTGTTTTTGTTTCCCAGCTCTATAGCAATTTCTGTCTGTGCCAATCATTTAGTATCCCACTGAATCCTGGCCTCAGAGAGGTACATGGGTCACCCAACCCCTTAATTCTCAAACATAGTTTATTTATATACAACCGTTGTGATTTTGTCATATCCATTTGCTATGGTTTGGACATAGTTTGAGTGTGTTCCACAAAGGTTCTTGTGCTGCAAGCTTGGTCTTCAGTGTAGTGATATTGAGGTTGCAAAATCTTCAAGAAATGGGGCCCAGTGGAAGGTAATGAGATCATGATGACTCCACCCTTGGAAGGGATTAATCCTGGTCTCAAGGAGTGGATTAGTTCCTGAGAGTAGACTGCTGTCAGAGAGCCTGGCATCTCCACTAAATTTCTCTGCCACATGTGCCACTTGCCTCCTTCCACATGTCCTCCCACTGTTGTGATACTGTCTGCCATGAGGCCCTCGGCAGAGCCAAGCAGATGCTGGCGGCATGTTCTCATACCTTAGCATTCATACCTTAGCTAAACAATTACTCCTCCTCCTCCTCTTCCCCCCTCTTTCCCCCTCCTCCCCCCTCCTCCTTTCCCTCCTTCATATTGGGGATTGAACCCAGGAATGATTTACCTCTGAGCTACATCTCTAGCCTTTTAATTTTGTTTCAAGGCAGGATCCCACTTTGTTGCCTAGGCTGGGCTTGAACTTGAGGTCCTTCCTCCTGCCTCAGCTTCCCAAGAGTCTGAGATTATAGGCATGGGCCACTGTGCCCAGCAACCTCTTTTCTTTATAAAGTATCCTGCCTCAGGCATTTTGATATAGTGATAAAAACAAACTAATAATCCATCTACTATTTTATTTTATTACTCTTTTCTTTATGTTAACTCTATTCTTTTTAAATGTTTTTATTGACAGTAAACATATGTGCATAGACATGGTATAATCACCACCTGCCAAGAAAGGACCCTATTAGGAATGCATCTCAGTTATTACCCCTCCCTTCTTTCCAAAGGCAATGGCTTTCTTAACATCTGTAATAAAGTTATGCTCATTAGTGAACTTTATAGAAATGTAATCTCATTGTTAATATTCTTTGGCATCTGATCTCTTTAGTTTAACACTCAGTATGTGAGGTTCAGTTCAGTTGCATTGTGTCTTTATTCCTATATATTATCCCATTTTCTGGCTATACCATTTATGAATTGCATTTCTGAATAGATATTCAGGTTGTTTCCCATTTGGGGGTACAAATAATGCTGCCACAAATGGCCTTGATTGCATATAATATACATGTACCTCAATATATGTTGGGTGTATACCTGGCTAAAACTTCTGGGTCATGAGGAATTAATTTGTTCTCTTCA